GCCAGCTCCTTCTTGGCTCTCCTCACATCAAGAAGGAAACTCTCTCTGTGTAGTTGCCGGACTGGATATCTTGATAGCGTATTGGATTTAATTGTCAAGCGCAGGATATCAAGAGAGCTGCATGGCGAGTCAAATGGGAACAACGGGGAAACAATATGGCCAGGGTCCGGCATCCCTGAGGGACCGCCTTTCTCCATATGTTCCCCCAAGGGCACTACGGTCGGGGACTCAACATCGATTGGTAACCCCAGGTCCCAAAGATATTAAATTCGCTGTCACCAGGGCCAGGGCGTTCTCGATGGCGGCTCCTACCTGGTGGAACGAGCTCCCGGAGGAGTTCCGCAGGGCCTGTAAGACGGAGCTCTTCCGCCAGGCTTTTGAGTAGGAGCCGCCACTGTCACTATACCACCACCGTACCACCACCACTAAATGGAGTGGGTGTCATCGGGGAAGGAGACGGCCCTGGGAGGAAGGACGGATCGCTGGACCACCTGGAGTCTATCGTGTTGCTCTGGGACCACTTTGTTATGTTGTGACCCCATCTGTTATCTGTGACATCTAGAGCACTTGTATTTTTATAGGAATGATCGTTTTATTCTGTTTTTACCTGTGGAATTTTGGCATATGTGCCTCATTTGTTAGCCACCCTGAGCCCATCCGGGGAGGGCGGGGTATAAATTTAACAAATAAATAAATAAATAAATTCTCTGCCACTTTTCCCCTGAAAGTACCTGCACAGGAGGTGGGGAGGGGAGGTATAGGCAGAATATTAAAAACAGCTCTGCTGGAGCAAAGTGCGACCAGCTACTTAGTTTGGTGGGAAAGAAGTTCTGATGAGGGAATTGTATGCCCATTAATGAGCAGGGCCTGATTGGTGGCCTGGCTTCTTGCCTGGCTGCGAAGAAGAAGAAGAGGAGGAGATTGGATTTATACCCTGCCCTTCTCTCAGAGCGGCTTACTAACTCCTTTCCCCTCCCCTTCCCTTCCCACAACAGACACCCTGTGAGGTAGGTGGGGCTGAGAGAGCTCTGGCAGAAACTGCTCTTTTTCAAGGACAGCTCTGACAGGACTGTGGCTTGCCCAAGGTCATCCAGCAGCTGCGAGTGGAGGAGTAGAGAATCAAACCTGGTTCTCCCAGATTAGAGTCCGCACACTTAACCACTACACCAAACTGGCTCCTTCTTTACTCCAGAAGCAGATGTAGCAGACATGGTTGGGCAATTTGAGGGGTATTCTTTGGAAATAGCCAAGGATGAAGATGCTAAAGGAAATTTCAGAGATGGAGATGGACCACAGAGGCAGGAGGGAAGCCACGCAAGTAAGAGGAGGGATAAGACCATGCCTTGCCGAAGAGAGGGCTTCCCTGAAATCCCAGTCCATGAAGAAAGGTCAATCAAAAAAAGAAGGGACAAAGACCTCTGTGCAAATGAGAGGATCCATTCTCGGGAAAAGGGGAATGCAAATGTGGCCTTTGCAAAGATCTTTAGCCAAAGAATTCCCTCAGGAGAGAAACTGTATAATTAGTTAGAGTGCAGGAGGAGCTTCAGTCAAAAAAACAGCCCTTAGTTCACATCAAAGAAATCATACAGGTGGGGAGCATTAGAAATGGACAGAGTCCATCCAGGAGGCTTAATGTACTTTTAAAGGGTTTATTATTCTATACTTCAGTGTGCATCAGGAAGAAGACGCTGAAATATTGAGAGTGCAGCTGTAAATTAAATGGCAAATCAGACCTCTTTGCATGAGTTCTAACAGGATCTCTCTCTTTATTCCAGCAGGGGAGGATCTGAGGAATGAGGAGGATGAGAAACTGCATCCTCTATCGCCAGATGAAGTCAGGAATGAAGACCTGAGAGGAAACTTCAGGAATCAAGGCAGGCGTAAGAGGCCAAAAGGAAGCCATATGGTTGAGAAGAGGGATAAAAATATTCCTTGCCAAGGGGGGGCTTTTCAAGAAGTAATTCACACGGTGGAGGAAACATTCAAGTGCTTGGAATGTGGTATGAACTTCTCAGATGAAATCCAGTATAACATCCATTCACAAATCCACAGTGGAAAGAAAACCGATCAGTGCCTGGAGTGTGGAAAGAGCATCCTTGGTAGAGCAGAACTAATTAGACATCTGAGAACACATACAGGAGAGAAACCTTATAGCTGCTCAGACTGTGGCAAGAGCTTCTCAGAGAAATCAGACCTTGTTCAACACCATAGGACTCACTCAGGGGAGAATCCATTTATCTGCTCAGAGGGTGGAATGACGTTCTCTGATGGAAGAAAGGGCGGTATATGTTTTCTAAAGCGCAGCATAATGAAGGCACATAAATGCTTTCGTTGTGGAAAGTACTTCAAATACAGATCGCAGCTCCTTGTTCACCAAAGAATCCACAGAGGGGAGAAGTCTTCTGAATTCTCAGAGAGTGGAAAGAGGTTGAGTCAGAGTGGCACTCTTCGACAACATCAAATCCACAGAGGGGAGAAACCTTTTGAATTCTCAGAGGATGGAAATAAATTTGGTCAGAGTGGCCATCTTCAATGGCATCAAAGAACCTATACAAAGGAGAAATCTTTTGAATGCTCAGAATGTGGAAAGAGATTCAGTAGGAGTGGCCATCTTCTAGAGCATCTAAGGATCCACACAGGGGAGAAGCCTTTTGAATGCTCAGAGTGTGGAAAGAGATTCAATAGGAGTGGTCATCTTCTACGGCATCAAGTAACCCACAGAGGGGAGAAACCTTTTGAATGTGCAGAGTGTGGAAAGAAATACAGTAGAAGTAGCCATCTTCAGCAGCATCAGAGAACCCACACAGGTCAGAAACCTTTTGAATGCTCAGAGTGTGGAAAGAAATTCAGTAGGAGTGACTATCTTCAACAGCATCAAAGAACCCACACAGGTCAGAAACCTTTTGAATGCTCAGAGTGTGGAAAGGGGTTCAGTCAAAGTGGCAATCTTCAACAGCATCTAAGAATCCACACAGGGGAGAAACCGTTTGAATGCTCAGAGTGTGGAAAGAGATTCACCTGGAGAGACCAACTTCAACAGCATCAAATAAGCCATACAGGCAAGAAACCTTATGAATGCTCAGAGTGCGGAAAGAAATTCAATTTGAATGCCAATCTTCTACAGCATCAAAGAACCCATACAGGGGAAAAACCTTTTGAATGCTCAGAGTGTGGAAAGAGGTTTGGTCACAGTGCCAGTCTTCAGCAGCATCGAAGAACACACACAGGGGAGAAACCTTTTGAATGCTCAGAGTGTGGAAAGAGGTTTGGTCACAGTGCCAGTCTTCAGCAGCATCGAAGAACACACACAGGGGAGAAACCTTTTGAATGCTCAGATTGTGGAAAGAGATTCAGTCAGCGTGGCACTCTTCAAAATCATCTGAGAACCCATACAAGGAGAAAGCATGTAACTGTGTAGCCTGTGAAAAGAGCTTTTCACCTATTTCACACCTAAAGGACAACCACAGATCATATAAAGCACTGAAACAATGTAAACTGTTGTAAAGAGCTTGAATCGACACAGAAACCTTACCGTAACTGGGAAGAAATGTTATAAATGCTCGGATTATAGAAAGAGCTTTAGTCATGTGGGAAGGCTCAAAAAGATCCCACAGGGAAGAAAGTAAAAATGGGCTTGGGCTCTGTGGGTTGAAGGATTGACTGATATCTCCTTTCGCATCGGGGAGTCCACCTAGGGGAAGAATCCCATCAGTTCTCAGTGTGTAACAAGAGCCTGAGTCTAGGAATGGGCACAGACTGGCTGACGAACCAAAGGTTTTCATGACGTTTGGCCTGTTTGGGGATCATGAACCAAAGTTCATGAACTGAACTACTGGAATGAACTACCATGAATTTTGGGCACACTTTGTGGTGGCTCGTGACAGTTCATGAAGAGCAGAAAGCAGGGGGAGCTTCTTGCTGCTCAGCTGTTTGGTTTAAATTTCTTGGAGCCATTTAAACCCTGCTTTCTGCTCCCTGTGAAACCCCTGCTTTCTGCTCCCTGTGAAAAGCCATGGTGGCTCCCCACAGCCAGCAGAAAGGGGGGGGGAAGGGAAGATCTTCCTTCCAGTTAGAGCTTGCTTCCTACCTTTCTCCTGGCGGCAGCTCACTGGATCCAGCAGAAAGGTGAGATGGAAATCCCTTCCCTGGAGGTCCCCCCCCCCCCCATTTGCTGGTTGCTGTTTTCCAGGCTCTCTTCTGCAGTCCTTTTGAAGTTTAAAGGGACTGCACAAGACAGCCTGAAACAGCTGAGTGGCAGGGAGCAAGGTGCTCCCCACCGCTCAGCTATTTTGGGGGGCTTTCTGCAAACCCCATTTAAAGGGACTGTGATCCCTTTCCATGGGGTTTGCAGGGCCACGAACCTCGCAAACCAGTTCTGCTTGTAAACGAGTATACCGGACCGGGGTTCAGCTTGTGGTTCAGCCGCAAACCACGAACTGAATTGCATTTCCCCAGTTCATGCCCATCCCTACCTGAGGCACAGATCCAACTTTCGTGTTCCTCAGAGAATCCATACAAAGGTAAAACTTTCCTATAGTTGGCTCACTGGAGGCCTCACTTCAAAAAGGATGTGGACAGAATGGAGCAGGTGCAGAGGAGAGCGATGGGGATTATTTGGGGCTGGAGACCAAGCTCTATGAGGAAAGGCTGAGGGACTTGGGAATGTTCAGTCTGGAGAAGAGGAGGTTGAGGGGCGACATGATTGCTCTGTTTAAGTCTTTGAAGGGCTGTCGCTTAGAGGAGGGCAGGGAGCGGTTCCTGTTGGCAGCAGAGCATAGAACTCCGAACACCCAAATGTCAGAGGTTCAGAAAGGCTCAGAAAATAGTTCTATAAAGGAGGGCCTTTTTAGCGGTCATCATCCTCTGCGAAACTTGCTACTTCAGGTTATCTGCCAATCTAACTCTTTCTGACATCTACAAAACTGGCAAAAATATTTCCCAAATCCTGTGAGGAAATAGACAAGTTGAGGGTAACCGATATCTACAGCCTCTCTGCTACTGGTGTAAACATAGGCTGAGTTCAGACTGGCAGTTTGAAGTGGGAGGGAGTCGTGGCAAAAAAGAGCTGGAACAAACTATTCCGGGCTTTCCCAGCCACACCGCGCCAACTGATGCGGGAGCCTACTGTGAGGAGGCGTGAGGGATCATTGACACTGTTGGCCCTGAGGCATGGCTGTAAGGCGCGGCTTTCTTTTTTTGCCAATTTGGAGATGTGCGCTTATGCGCACAAGCACACAAGGGAAACGCGGCTTTTGTCATCCACGCTTTGTTGGTGCAGGATGGACACGAGATAATCGTGCTTTCCAGAGTTTGCTACCACTTTCACCAGGTATCTTTTAAACTTGGGAGTGAAGTGTTACAAGACGGGTTGAGTACGGGTGAGGAACGCCTGACTGATGTGCCTGTGTGAACGGACCCTTTAATCCAGTTGTGGAACGTTTCTCAAACGTGCCTATATCGGGGCAAACTGCCAGTCTGGACTCAGCCATAGTGTGACCAATCCTGCATCTTTCCCAGAAGTTTAATGTGTGGAAATGGACATCTGAAGACCAGTGTTCCCTTCTAAGCTGAGTTAGTGTGAGCTAGCTCACCGTTTTTTAGCCTCCAGCTCACACATTTTTGTCTTAGCTCAGGAAGGATGGCTCCAGAGCAAACTGATTTATACAGTGGCCAAATTACTTGCTCACAACTTTAATGCCAGTCGCTCACAAAGTAGAATTTTTGCTCACAAGACTCCACAGCTTAGAGGGAACATTGCTGAAGAGCTAAATGACATCCCATAATGCCTCTGTTAAAGGGAGAGAACACTGTTTTCCTCCAGGCAGTTGGCAAACCTAGATTAAGTGTTTCTGTATCAATCAGAAAGAAAAAAACCTAAGCTAAGGAAGGACCATAGCTCATTAAAGAGATTATTATTTGTGTGGGGCTGTGACAGTCATCCTCATTCCATCAGAAGGGTAAATGTGAATATCGTCAGGCCTAGTTTGAGCTTAAGGGTGACTGATTTCAGAGCTCTTGCTACCACCAGCCTTATCTCCCTCCAGGCCGGACAATGGAATGTAGTAATTGATGTTTACCTGGATTTCAGTAAAGCTTTTGACAGGGTCCCCCGTGTTGTTCTGATGGGTGGATAGGGAACTGGTTGGAGAATCGCACTCAGAGAGTAGTTGTCAGTGGCATTTCATCTGAATGGAGGGATATGTCCAGTGGGGTGCCACAGGGCTCGGTTCTGGGCCCGGTACTTTTCAGTATTTTTATCAATGATCTGGATGAGGGTGTGGAGGGGCTACTCATTAAATTTGCAGATGACATCAAATTGGGCGGAGCAGCGGACACACCAGGAGATCGAGACAGTATTCAACAAGATCTGAACACACTGTAAAAGTGGGCAGATGTGAACAAGATGCAATTCAACAAGGATAAGTGACAAGTTCTACATGTGGGTAACAAAAATGAGGAACACACATACTGGATGGGGGATCAGGGCCGGCTCCAGGGTGTTTTGCACACTAGTCGAGGCTACCTTCTGGCGCCCCCCCCCATGAGAGAGGAAGAGGAAGACAGGAAAGGAAGAAGAAAGAAAGAAAGCCACCCCTCCCTCTGTTCTGGGATGCCTCTCTCCTGAGGCTGTGCGGGGGGTGGGAGAAAGGAGACCGAGGAGGCGCCGTATCAGCTGAACAGCCCCCCCAACAACCCCCGCCGGGGCTCCCTGTTCCTACCAGCCCACCATGGATCCGCTCCCCAAATGCGCACAGGACTGGCGCTCTCTGAGCTGAGACGCTGGACAGAAGCGCCAGCCCCCGTCGGCCTCTGCCACCCGAACTGCCCTCCAGCCCCGGGGAAGGGGCCCGGCGCGGCAGGCCAGCTCCTCGCTCGGCTGCTCTGGCACTCTGCAGGCTTAACCCCTTCAGGGCTGCAGCGGGCAAAGAGGAAAGGGAGGCGCATTGCCCAGGCTGCCCTTTGCCACTCAATGGGGCGACTCGGGAGGAACACAGCAGGTGGGGGGGCAAGGGTGTAGACTTTTCAATTTCCGGGGGGGGGGGCTGGGGCTGGGACAGAGGCATTGCTTTGCTAGGAGCAAGGGTGGCTCCCGGGGGAGGCTGAGCACCTTCCTGAAAATTTCGGCGGGGGCTGACGCCCCGCCGCCCCCACAAAGA